CGCGCCGCCAGCTGCAGGCCGAGCGCCAGGCGCTGAGCGTCTGGCTGCGGGAGCGGAGCCCAGGGCTGGGGGTCCCGGCGCCGCCTTCTCCTCCGCCTCCGCTCCTCAAGGAGGACCCTGACGGGGACGTCCTCGAGGGCGACGACGACGTGATCACCAAGGTCCTGCTGTAGCGAGGCCGCTCCATGAGTAAGCCTAAGCACCCCGCGCCAGGCGCCCGGCAGCGCCCCAAGGACTCCTTCCAGGAGCCTGGATCGGGTGCACGGGATGGACCGCACTGCAAGGGGAACCGGCTCCAGCAACCTCTGCCTAGTGCCTTAGGGCTGGAGGCTTTTAAAGCCAGAAGGTTCTCTAAACACCAAAGACTCATCACACCGCCTGCCTATACGCCTTGCAGGGGAGGGAAGAGGAGGCTTTTTAATCCAGGAATCCGGTGTACTCTTTCCTAATGTTTAAACTTGGCCCAGCACCAAGTCCCCAAACGGGACTTTTTCATTGACTCCCTGGCTCCCTGCCTTCAGCATCCACAGAACCCCACAGTGGGCCTCTTTGCCAATCCCAGAGTTATCCCTCTTTGCCCCAGTCACCTCACATGGCCCCCCCCTCCACCCAAGGCCATGAGCACCTCTTTCCTTAACTCATCTTTCCCTGGATGGGACCCAGTGGTAGGTATATTCTCCCATTTCCTGTCTCACCTCTTGCCACCTAACTAGCAAGACATCATCTGTCACTAGAAGAGCAGTCCCTTGCCCTACAGGCCCCCAAAGACCTCTCCCTGAACCAAAGGAGAAACCTGAGGCCACGTCACCCCGCCACCTTACAGCATCAACCCATCTCATTCCCTCCCTTTCTTCAGCCTGTTTCCAGCAATGCCTGCTACCCCTGAAGGTCAAGAAGTCCTTGTTGCCCACACTCACCATGTCCCATTCTACTGGTCCCTTCCCATGCGTCACTGCGGGCTAAGCTACCACCCAAAACCAAATATGGTTTTCCACAGCCCTTGTTCTCCCTTTCTGAGGTCCCTTCTTTTGATGTAGAACATGCTTTTCTAAAGTGGTTTTTTTGTTTGTTTGTTTGTTTTTTGAGACGGGGTCTTTCTATGCAGCCCTGGCTGTCCTGGAACTCACTGTGCAGACCAGGCTGGCCTCGAACTCATAGAGATCCACCTGCCTTATCCTGATCACTGAGACTAAAGGTGTACACAGTTCCCAAAATGTTTTTACTTGAGTTTTGTACTCAAGTTTTGTTTTTTTTTTTTTTAACTTGAACCATCTAGGAAAAGTTGAAAGGCTAATAAAATGAATATATATGCATTCATATCACATATGTGAGCTTTTTTAAGCATCCACTTGTATTTTAAATGTGTCTGGTTGTTTTGATGGGCCAACTTCTAAATTCAGCCCCTGGTCCATTTCCTTAGAGAGCTTAAGTAACTTCTGCTAGCAACTCACTGAGCTATCCCAGCCGTGACTGTCCGCCCTGGATCTGGACATTCATGCCCAGTTGCCTGTTCCATGGCTCTTCCCATTGCTTGCATATCTGCCACCACCAACACCAGATAACTAGCATTTTCTGGGGACCTAGCACTATCAAGCACACAGCAGCTCCACGGTGAGGTGTTGCTACTGTGCCTGCGTCATGCCCAAGACAAATGTCAGCAAGGTGTCAGTGGGTACAGGTGCTTGTTGCCAAGCCTGAAGACCCGAGTCCAAAATCAGGATCTGACCCACATGGTGGAAGGAGAGAACCGATTCCCACAAGTTGTTTTCTGACGTCCATGCACGCACTATGACACGCCCACACACAAATGCAATAAAAATATTTTTAAAGAAAATGGGAGAAGGTTAATTTGTACAAGATTACAGTTGGGGGAGTGGTCAAGGCAGGCTCTGCGTGTGGCCCGCTGTCTGCAGGTTGCCGTGTCCTTCCTAGCTGCTGCACTGTCCCCTGGGTGTGGACAGCTCACCTGCCTCCATTTCTAGTTGGTGAAAATAGTGACATTCACATTTCCTGAGCATTCACCATGGGCCACAGTTGTGCTAGACTAGACGCATGATGATGCACTGCTGGACTCCCTGCACCTGGGAGGTAGAGGCAGGAGAATCAGGTGTTTGAGGTCATCCTGAGCTACATAGCAAGTTTGAAGCCAACCTGGGCTACCTGAGACCTTGTCTCCAAAGACCCCCCCACACACACACACACACATACACAACTCAGCCACATAGTGACCCCTGGCATGTTATTGGGTAGAGGAGAAGGCATGCTCAGAGGCTTTCACCCATGCACAACCATGATGAAGCAGTTGCTGGAACTTGTTCACAGAATCCTAAGGAGTACTGAGTCCTATGAAACACTGCACGCTCCGCCTCCTGACATGCCTCACTGCCCGCCCCCATCTCTCAACTTGGCCCACAGCCTGTTCTTAGTACCTCTGCTTCATTTTGCCTTCCTCTAAATCCCTTCAGTCTCCAGGAATAAATCCTACCCAGGGCTGGGGTACAGCTCAGTGGCAGAGTACCTGCCTAGCATGTGATAAATCCCCACTGGTTTGTAAGACCACGACTCTTGTATAGAGGTATTAACTCCTCTGAACAGTCCAGCCAGCACATAGCTCTTGGTTTCTTGCCTTCCCTACTGGAAGGCTTGAGCAGCGGGGTGGGGGTGTCACTTACCTGTGCTTACAAGTATCTGAGGTATCAGGTGTACTCTGATACTTTACAAGTTCTTCTGTAGTGAGTCATAATTCATTTGTCTTTAATTCTCTAAAATTCCCAACAGAAAAGTAGATTAACTGGAAGTAGAGTGAGTGTGTGTGTGCGCGAGCACGTGCGCGAGCACGAGCGCGCGTGCCCCAAATGGCCTGAGACTTGCTATGTAGACCGGGCTGACCTCAAATTCACAGAGCTCTACCTACCTCTGCCTCCAGAGTGTTTGGATTAAAGGCATTTGCAGCACACCCCTGTTCAATTTTGCATAATCTTTAGTCAATAAACAAAGATTTTTAAAGGTGCCGGTTATTAGTTATTGGTTTGACCCCAATAGACAAATTTCGGTTGTCATGGAAAATAGTTTGTAATACTCCCTTTTCTTGCACAGGTCATGTGAATGTCATGCCACAGTCTAAGAACAGAAAGACAGTTTCCCAAAACCTGCTCTTTCATTAATCATTTGCAGTGTTTATGTTAGCCTAATGTCATTTCTCCCAGTGATTGGAATTTAGCTTCAGGTACATTTATAAATCAGGCTGTAGGATCTGAGTTAGATATTTTAGAAGCAAAGAAGACCCTGAGAAGTGTTACCTTTCTGTCTCACCAATGATCAGAGCCATCAAACTAAGGAGTCACTTTTAGAATTATACTTTTAGACCCTTTACTATAGAGAATACCGACAGGAGCTGGAAGGGATTGGGTGCTGTCTGTGGGAGTCGGGGAGGAGGCTAACTCTGTCTATAGACATCAACAGTTGCAATTTCCTATGCCAAACCTTACTTATCTAATAAAACCATCTACATTTGCAGACAAACCCTCTCCCTCTGTGCTCAACTTCCTTAGTCAAACCCAAGGGTGTATATCACCACCATTTCTGAAAAAGCCTAGAGAGAAATCCATCCCTAGTCTACTCTGCCATCATGTGACAGGAAAATGAGCTCAGACCACTCAGAGTGGCAGTGGCAGGTCACCTCTCTCCAGGTTCCTCTACAGGCATCCTGCCTCTGGCCTTGACGGCTCCTGGCAAACACAACATCTCTTGGGAAGAGCTGGCATTTTGGCATTCTGGAGTCAGCAGAGGTGGAGTCTGAGAGCTCAGAGGTGGGGTCAGGGTTTGGATCAACCCTCTGGCCAGGGCAGACTGCTCACAGGGAGCCGTCATTGCTGGCTGGTAACCAGGACATGTCTTGCGTGTATCATCGGGGCTGTCTAAGGTGACAGGGCTGTCCTGCTGTTGTAATGAGAGAGGAGAATATGGGTGCTTGAAATTACAACTCTCACCTGTCATGATGTTTCCGTGCACTCTGTGTTGGAAACCGGAGGAGAAGCATGAACGTAGGGGGAGCATGGCAGTGATACCACCAAACTGTCATCCTTGGCTTGGATTTGATTGGCGTGGACTGAGTTTCCACCGTGACTGCTATGCCCTTAAAAAATCCCAGACTGGAGTCACAGACACTGTTGTGGTTTTGCCTTTTGCCTAGGATTTCGTTTTGTTCTCCTGGACACTGCCCTAGTTAGCCTTAATGTCAACTTGACCCAGCCAAAGATGGGAGTCTCAATTAAGGGATTACCCAGCTCTAACTGGCCAGTGGGCATGTCTGTCGAGGATTGTCCTGATTGACATGGAGAAGCCAGCCCACTGTGGGCAGCACCGTTCCCTGGCTGGCGATCCTGGGCTGTGTAAGTAACAAAGCATGAGCATTTGGGTGAGCTGGCAAGCAGCATTGCTTCTGACTTCTGCTTCAGGTTCCTGCCCTGACTTCCTTCATGACTGGCTGTGACCTGAAGTGTCAGGCAAACAAACCCTTACCTCCAGCATGTTGCTTTGGTCAGAGTGTTGTATCGGAGCAACAGAAAGGAAGCTGGAACAAACCGACTCAAGAGCTCCATTTCTGAAGGTCTGAACTTGGTACCCACCATTCCCCTCAGTGTTTCCTCCTGGAACGTGGATGAGACAATCTAATTAAGGTCCCCTTGGCTCTGATACACTACTGTTAAAGGAAGACACCAGAGCAACAATCGCTAGTTCAGTGAATCAGTTGCTTGGCTAACAAGATTCCCTTATTACCTGCATTTAGAAACAATGTCATCATATGGCTGGGGGGGGCATAGCAAAGCAACTTGACCACACAGTTGCCATGACAGGCTTAGAGGTCCAGATACAGCTGCCGTGACAGGCTTACTGGCAGGCAACACTCTGATTCGGGGAAAGCCATAAGCTGACATCACCCAGGGATCCACTCAGCGATGGGCCAGCATCTAAGGGAAAGAACCTGACATCCCCAACATTCCAACCGTCAGATAAGATTAAATAAGATGGCCAGGTGTCCCTGAGCCTAGCACATACCTAGTCCCCTTTTACAGATACCCCTAGACAAATCAGGGTCTCAAACCCTGAAAGTCCCCTTACCTACCTCTGCTATGATAACCCCACATTGCCTGGGCTCAGGGCTCTCTGCTATCATTGTTGTGTCAAACAGAGACCAAGCTGGAGCTTGAAATAAAGGCTCTTTGCTTTTACATATGGGATTTGGTCTCTGTGGTGGTCTTTTGGGGGTCCCCGTGATCTGGGCCTAACAACAGCCAAGGGTGGTGTGAGGAGGATACTAGTCAGGCAAATACTGGCATAAGGTTAGGCCCCATGCCTAGGACTTGCATTTCTTACTTTACCTGAAAAGGAGCTCACACCTAACCCCAAGGCCCTTGGGAAGGACAGGCTTCCCTCCCTGGCAGAGTTCTTGAGTGAGGCCACAGAAACAGTTTACAAAGTCATTCTCCCAACCCCAAAGGAACTTCTCCCTCCAATCAAAATGGTTACCCATGACTATAGGTCACATGACAAGCCTCACAAAAGTTGTCCCTACACAGTGACCTGGCAGAGTATACAGTCATTTCAAAAGTGCTCCCTGCTTCCAAACCCCTCTCCGAGCACTCACTGGATCTAGCCAGTTTTTTAAGATAGCCTTTGACTTAGCAAATCTGCGTCTTTCAGAAAATTTTTCATATTTAAAAATAGTGCTAGAGCCCAGCGACTATGGTTCATGATTAGCGAGGTTAATACTTCTGACTAATAAGGTGAGATTCTAATAAAGCCATGGTAATTATTTTTGTGTGCCTAATAAGCTGGTCTGACAGCACCATACCTTAGGGTTAAGTGAGGCAGTGTAGTTACGGAAGAGATTAAAGCCGTTTTAGTTGGTTTATGACATGGAACACTAGCAGTAATTATGTACTTAAACAGTATTAAATGTTTCTTATGAAAACCTTAATTACGACATTTCTGAGATCAGACTTCCTAGAATTAAAATAGGGCTTTAAGAAAGAAACATTAAATGGTAATGAGGGCTTTGTTCTTTCAGAATGATTCTCATGGGCTTTTGGTCAAGTTAAGTAATGTTCAGGTGAATGAGCCGGTGACCTTCCTAACCTTTGAGTCTGCCGGTAATGGGCAGTTAAGTAATTCACTCTCACATGTTCAAATACATCTAATAACATTCCACCAGCCACTGTCTTCTGCTCACTGAGCAGTGCATGGCGTTTTCACACAGAGGAGAGCTCACTTCTCCATAGAATAACTTTGAGAGCACTTTCTTCCTGAGCAAGCGG